AAGTAGCTGGTAAGTATGTACATGCTAAGTGCCATATAAATATTGCCATTAAACTAATGATGGGGCACCTGGGTGACTCAGTGGGTTAAGTGATCAACCCTTGATCTCAGCTCAGGTCATGATCTTGTGATTTTGAGATCAAGCCCCATGTCAGGCTCCATGCTGAGCCTGGAACCTGCTTAGGATTTTCTCTCTCTCTGTCTCTCTCTCTGCCCCTCCCCAACTTGCATGCACGCATGTACTCTCTCTCAAAATAAATAAACACCTAAGAAATATACAAAATAAAATAATTATAATAAAAGTTATTATTTCTGTATAACTAGAAATAAAGCTTTTCTCTATCAAAGCTAAATGACCCAAATGCAGGCAGAATCTGAGAAATGTTCCTACAGGCACCAGTTGTAACCACCGAAGTTCATGCTTGGGCAACACATCAACAGCATCAGTTTGTATTTGGTATTTGAAACTTACCTTGATATAGCAATCATTTATTTTCCCAATAGAAAATTAAAAACAGTATTTAAATTGACACTTATTTTTCCTCAGTGTAGCTTAGTAAACAAATGTGACATAAGAATGGACTTTCATTCCAACATAACAATCCTTTGAGACTGATATTTTTAGAGGAAAAACATGGTAAGTTCTGAGTTTCATAATGACAGCATCATTAGAAGCCTCAACAGTAGTGAAGGTCCTTTGAATTAACAACAGATCATTTTGCATATGTATAGCACACGTAGAGTGTTCAAAGCACCTGTATGCGCACTAGGTGATTCGATCTTCAAAACCATTTTCTGGAAAGTGATCATCAAAAAACCTAAGTGATTTCTTTATAAAGTCACAGAACTAAAAAATGGTGGAAATACAAAATTTAGATGATTTCACTCCTGGTCCCTAGTGTATTTCGCCATACCACGCTGCCACAGTCTCGTGGAAATCTTCAGGAAGACATTGACATCATGTGAAGAACTGACATAGAAAATATCTCAGAAGTTATTTTTGACCTCTTGGGTCCCCTTAACACTTCTGAAAATACAACCATAAAAGGATAAGAATAACTGATGCCATTTATAAAATCTCTTTGAAAAAATTAGTGGCCAAACCCCTAGTCCCCACATTCTTGCCATCCATTTATTTTCTGCATGGGTTTCTTTTTCTCCTGACATTATGCCAGTGCTTGTTTTGATGCCCTTCTTATTCACGGTCTTTCTCTAGATAAAATTTCTAATTTTGGGTTTGAAACACAACTGTATGTTTATGACTTCCAAATCCACAGAGCTAGCCTAGATTTCCCCCCCAGGCTGCACACTTGAATATCCATCTGCTTGAATATGCTTCAAGCACCTAAGCTCATCATTTTATCTGAATAAACTTTTAGTTGTCTCTGTTTACTTGACATCACCATCACTGACCCAGTAATCCAAGCTAGAAATCTGGAAATACCTTGTTCTTATTTCTACCTGGATATCTACTTTTTCCTTTATTATCTTTTTACTATAATGTTTAATAATATAGAAGAAAACATATATGATGAATGGCATCCATATAATGACTGACAATAATAATTCTAGCACCCATACACCCACTTGCAACACAAGAACCAAAACCGCCCAATACCATTCTATCCTCCTATGTACTTCCCCATTCCATATCCCTTCCTTCATCTCCTCCTCCATGGAAGATAACCATCATCCTTAATTTTGTTTTTAATTTTTCCTTTTCAATATTGGTTTATTTCATATGTATGTATCTCTAAACATTATTCGGTTTTGCTTGTTTTTAAGCTTTATAAAAATAAAGTCACTCCCCTGGGACTTGCTTATTCATTCAACATTACACTTATAAGATTCATTCATGTTAATGCAATTAACCATGTTAATGGTGATGCAATTCGCCAGTTCTACATACTATTTCATCGTGAGAATTAATTAGGAAACATAATTTTAGAAATATATAATTTACAATATCATCAGAAACTATATGATGCTTAGAAACAAACCTAGCAAAAGATATGTCAGATAGGTATATCTATCTGACTTTACTTTCTTAAAATTTCTTGACTACCTTCAAATCCCTACCACCAATGCCAAGTGAGGGAAGCCTTCATCAACTCTTACCTGGGCAGCTTACCACACAGTTGCACCCTGAGTATTGCTCCATTCAGTCTACCTTCCCCATCATCATCACAGCAATCCATTTAACATGTAAAGATGACTATACCATCCCCTTGCCCAAATGCCTTTGAAAATTCTCTTTTGTCCACAGCTCCTCATGTACCCCACCCCAGTCTCTCACTCACACAAACACTATACACTCCAGCAACTTCAGTGTGTTTCTCACCTCCAAACTTTTATTCCAACTTACTTCCCACCCCTTTTCTTTGTTCTTCCAAATATACAGGCATCTCCACACACATTCACACACATCACTGCACAAAACACACACACACACACACACACACACACACACACACACACTCACCTGGTTAGCTACTATTCATTCAGATTCAGCATGAGCATCTACTCAACAAAGTTTTCGTGTGATGCTACCCATGCCCCTCGCCTGTGAGATCAGGTATCTCTCCTCTAAAATATCATGTTAGGTATAGTTATGATTATCGTAATGATTGTGCTTATGATAGTAGCTTTCTCATTTCATTGGCCACATTTGCTATTTAAGTTTCAGACTCCCCTTCTGGTCTATGGGTTCCTCTAGGTCCAAGACTATCTTGCTTTCGTCTCTGATTCCTCTCTATCTGCCATAGAGACTAAAATAAACATTACACTCAGTAAATACTGAAAAAAATATTTTTCTTTTTTTTCCTTTATAAAAACTTATTTATTTTGAGAGAGTGCACAAGCCAGCAGGGGAGGAGGGAGAGGGAGAGAATCCCAAGAAGTCAGTGCACAGCCTGATATTGGGCTTGAACTCACAAACTGTGAGATCATGACCTGAGGCAAAGTCAAGAGTGGGGTGCTCAACTAACTGAGCCACCAAGGCATCCCAAAAATTAGTCCTTTCTTAATTGTTCTCTGTAACTATGAAAGTTAGGGTCTTACTTTATTTATTTTTTTTAACATTTACTTATTTTTGAGAGACACAGCATGAGTGGGGGAGGGACAGAGAGAGGGAGACACAGAATCTGAAGCACGCTCAAGGCTCTGAGCTGTCAGCACAGAGCCCAAAGCAGGGCTCGAACTCACGAACCATGAGATCATGACCTGAGAGTCTGACACTGAACTGACTGAGTCACCCAGGCACCCCGGATCTTATTTTAGAACATTATCTTCTTTTGGAAATGATCAGATCTATCATGTTTTATAAATGAATATTTGTCAAATTTTCTTTTTTGTTTGTTTTTTGAGAGAGAGAGAGAAAGAATGCATGCACACTTGAGCTGGAGAGGAGCAGGAAGAGAGAGGGAGAGAAAATCCCAAGCAGGCTCTACACTCAGCATGGAGCCCAACGCAGGGCTCGATCCCACGACCCTGGGATCATGCATGACCTGAGCTGAAATCAAGAGTCAGATGCTCAACCAACTGAGCCACCCAGACACCCCAAATATTTGTAAAATTTTCTAAAGCACAGCAGTCCATAGCCTCCATGTTTTTAAGCAGTTCATTACCCAATGTATTCATGAAAATAATACATTTATTTTAACGTCTCCCTGATTAGGAGATAACATTTATTCAGCAACTCACCTATTCAAGAGAGTAAAACCCAAGAGTCCATCCAGCTAGAACTTCAAAATTGAAGGTTGCTATCACATAATAGTATATTCATATATGTACTTTAAATTGTTATTTTAACATGCTGAACCATGTGTTTTAAAAAGATCATATCAATTTAAGCTGTTCTAACAGAACTTCTCTACCTTCAAATTGTGGTGACATTTTATTAGTAAGCTAAATATCCCTAATTAAAACCAATCTGCTTAGCATAAAATCACTCTAATTCATTAATTCTCTGCTGAGAATATATTTTTAGCTATCTCAAAAAAATTGCATAATAAAGTGTTGCCCCAGTTTCCTCAATTGTAGTTATCCTATTTGAAATGCCACAATATGAGAATGTTTTCATTAAAAATCATCCTTCTTCTGGTGGTGTTTTCTACTGGTGTGGCTCAGAATTTTCTGGGCTCATTACCAAGGACTAAACCTCCCCTTGTAGAAATGAGCAAGCACACTAATTGAAATAAAAGGTGATCAGATATAAAATGTCACTGCCCCCAGAGGGAACTGAATTTCAACAGTGAGAATACCAAACAGCACAGTGATTTAAGAGCATTAACGTTGACAGTCACTTTGCTATCTTAAGAAGATTTCAAGGAATAATACTAGGCACCCAGAAACCAAAGAAGGTTAAGAAATGTATGAGGGCAAACAAGGTTCTTTGCTACCTCAGAAGGTTCCAGACCCAGTTCTGAGAAGCATTGTTTTCCCCTGCCATTTGAGCAAAGTAAAATGGTAACCTTATTATGCAGAGGAAGAATGACACAAGCTGGAAGAAAGAATCAGGACCCAAAATTCTCAACAGGCTGAAATCATCAGTGAAATGTAACAAAAGAAATTTATTATCATAATAAATATAAAGTCCTGCTCTTAAATCAGGACTGCAAATAGAGAATCCGGGCAAAGTACAAAAAAGAAGAGTTGGCAATCATAGCAGATGGCAAGTTCAATATAAACCAATAATAAAACACCCCTACCCAGAACGTGCTGTGATCTAAGACTGCATTCATTGTAGTTCAGTGTCCTAAACACAGGAGCAGCTGTCCTTCAGAATAATGTGCTGGGTAGACCACACAGGTATCACATACAGTTTTGGATATGATCCTTCAGGGTGTTTACTGAAAACACGGAATGTATGAAAAAGGATAATAACCACAATAGTGAAGAAACACAACCTCACATTCAAAGCTTTCCTAAAGAAAATTAAAACAAAAACTTAACAGAGATTCAACGCCTTCTATTCTGAACACATTTCTTTCAAAACTAAACCTTCTCGACACCACTCCACTCCCAACTATTAGCATTCCTCTAGTTAAAAAATTTTTAAATGAGGTAAGAAAAATGAAGATGCAGAAAGGTACTGTAAATTAAAAAATAGAGCACAAGGTACACTGAATGCTTCCCTAAGTTCCCATCTACTTAAAGCTCAGAAAACTGGCTTCACTGAAAGTGCAAGATAATTTGCCTAAACTTCTAAAACCACAAATAATTGTCAAAATTGAAGGTGTGAATATGGCATATAATTACAAGGGAAATTAATAGCCAGGTTTGTAATCTGTAGATAATAGTAAATATCGCATTCAGCTAGGATATGAAGTTTGAAAGAAATACATCTTCAAGAACTAGAAATGAGTGTAAGGTCATAAATTTGCTAGTCCTCTAGATATATGCATCTAATACAAACTAAATAAGCAGATCATCTCTTATCTGGTGATCTTTATTAATAGTTAAAACTTGAATGTTTTAAAGCTTTGAAGTCTTTTTCTCCACAAAAGGACTATTATTAAATGCCTAGAATCAATAACCATTTATATAATTACCATGATATAACTACCTCTGTGAATGAAGAAAATAAAATAAACAGGACAGTGTTTTATTAATATTTTGACTATAAAATCAGTGCTATTAATGATGATAAATACAAAGTCTAGCTCCCTAAAAGAACCATAATTTTTAAATGTAGACGTATTACTATTATAGTAGTAGAAACTCCTTTGCTTTCTACAACAGCAGCAAAGAAACAACCAAATAATTTTTTTTTTGATAATTCACATTGTAAAATAACTCTTCAAAATAGCAAATAAATTTACTGGTCTATCCATTTAACTTGCCCATGCTAAATTTCATGACATTAAATTTTTGTGGAATACAAACTTCTACTGTATTTTCACCCACTAAAGTTTATACTGGTAAGATCTCACAAGATCTCAAAGTCTGCATTCAGTGGAGATGGAGAAGAACCCATTAAGTCATTCTAGGAGCACTTAAATGATTGTTTACCATTTTACAGGAGTTATACTTAGGTGCTTGGCTACAAATCTAATCATCTCTGCCTTCCAGAAGCTTACTGATTACTAGACAAGGCAGTCAGATAAACACCAAGTTACAGAACAAAGTGATGGATGTTATTAGAGAAGTCTATGCAAAGTGCTGGGGAATATTAGGAAAAGCACAAATAATTAAGGTAAGGAGGGTGTTGGATAAGGTTTATAGAAGAGGTGGCATCTGGCAGAAGCCCTTTTCACAAGAGAACAGAAGTACATCAGAAAAAGAAAATGACTGAAGGAATTCCAGACAGAAAGAACAGCCTGAAGAATGCCATATTTACTGTTGCTGTAGAGGACTGAGTGAAAAACACCAGAGAAAATGAGACTGGAAAGATGAAACGAAACTTTGAAGGCTTTGGGGGAAAATACTAATATCCAGGAACCTAAGCAATCCTAAATCCTAAATTATATTTACATTTTAGGTAAAACAACTTCCCACTGCCTTGTCAACCCTTCTATTACTTGAGCTTGCATTGCAGTAAGTCCTCTAGATAGAATTCTTTTTTTTTTTTTAGTATTTATTTATTTTGAGAGAGAGAGAGGAGAGAGCACCTGCACGCCCAGGGGAGGGGCAGAGAGAGGGAGGGAGAGAGAGCATCCCAAGCAGGCTCCATGCTAAGCGCAAAGCCCGATGTGGGGGTTCGATTGCATGAACTGTGAGATCATGACCGGAGCTGAAATTGATAGTCAGACACTTAATTGACTGAGCCACTCAGGCGCCTCAGTCCTCCAGATAGAATTCTTAAAACATTTTCTTAACACATGATACTTCCCTGCTCAGAAATCTAGAATGGCACTCTGTCTTTCACCACAAAATTCCAAATTCCTCTATCAACTTTTCAATGTTCTCTCTAATCAGGCCTCACCCTGTACCAACTCAGCCTCATCACCAAAGCGGAAGGAGAGGTCTGCTCACTGTCTCCTGTGTATCCCATTCTCAAGACCTAACTTCAAATCTGACTCTCCACCTAGATCATCACCCAGTTTGCCTTCTATTGTCCTGAAGTTTACATCACATCAGGGCCTCCACTGTGCCTTCTCCACCTCCTCAAACCCACTTTGATCTCTCCTTTCCTTGAACTCCTTCTACACTGAAAGTCACAACTGCACAGCTTATCACTCAATTGTCAATTCCACCCTGTGCCTCCCCATACAGGAACTAAGGCTTTTACTTCAACTATATGCCCATCAGGCCTTGCAAGTATTATGCAAACTGTACAAGATGGAGTTGGTAATGTGTCAAATAAATAGTTTTGGTTGGCATTGGGAGCAGAGAACAACAGTTTTTAATCTTTTAAAAAACATGAAAATCTTGATTCTTCTAAATTTTAGAGCACATCAAATTTTTATTTTAATGTCTTACTTCTAGTTAAACATTACTGTCATTATCACCCAAGCCATCCTTGTATGGCACAACACGAGGAGAGATCTGTCCAAGTGAAGAATGCACAATCCAGCAGTGAAAGAATTAAAGAAGACTTTAGGAAACTACTGCCTAGGGATTCACAATGTCAGCTTATAAGTGCTATGCTTAGGACACCATATATATGTCAAAGAAGAGAAAACTAAAGACCAAATAGGCTATGCATTGGCCAAGGCCATACAATAAATCATTTATTGACACTCAGTTTTGCTGCCTAAGCAGAAAATCTGCCTCTTTAGAAAGTTGATTATTCAGAAATATATTACTTGACTAATAAATTAAAACTTTAGAGCATAAGAATGTTTTTCCCAAACATAAGCACACTTCAGGGACAGAAAAGCCATGTGGATGACAAATTAGGCTTTTATAATGCAAAGCATTGCATGTAAAATATTTCAAAATCTGGTTTCTATTTTAATACTTTGCCACTTGATAACCAAGTAGGCACCAAGTCCTACATTTATCAAAAGAGGTCGAGATATGACCTGCCTTGAGATCTAAATGTAAGTTTTATCAAAGTTATGATCATGTTTTAAGTAAAAAACAGGAGGGCACAACAGTCACCAGGATCCTTACAATTGATAGAGCAACCACCAAGTTTCATTATCTGAACTAAGAACTCAGGAAATATGAGGCTAGTAGAGTTTACAATATCTTAAAGAGAATTTAACCTTAGGAAAATGTGTATGTGATTAGTCACACTGTTTATTATCTAACACCTTTGGGAAACAGAGCACAAAAATCAAAACATGAGCAAGATGGTATAGCACATCCTCATTCCCCTACCCCCGAAATAAGCAATAGTTTCTATATATAACTAAGCCACAAATTCATAGCAATTAGGTAGATGGACAAATGGTATTTTAACAGCTTTATTGAGGTGTAATTGATACAGAATTGTATTACTCAGGGTTTTCTAGATTATAAGAACCAGTAGGATGGATGGATGGATGGTTGGATGGATGGATAGATGGATGGATGGATAGGCAGGTAGGAGGTAGGTAGGTAGATAGAAAGATATAAAGATATACATGTATATACACATATATAGAAAGAGATTTTTTACGAGAGATTGGTTCACATGGTTATGGAGGCTGAGAAGTCCCTCAATCTGCCATTTGCAATCTCGAGACCAGGAAAACCAGTAGTATAATTCCATTTAAGCCTGAAACACCATGGAGGAGAAGGTAGTAAGTCCCCATCTGAATCCAAAGGTTCTACTACCAGAAGCACCAATGCCCAAGGGCAAAAGATGGATGTTTCAGCTGAAGCAGTGAAGCCAAACCCACCTTGCCTCTGCCATTCATTTGTTTGTTCATTCATTTAAATTCAGGCCCTCAACAGACTGGATGATGCTCACATGCATTAGTAAGGGTGATTCTCTTAGTCTATCAATTCAAATGCTGATCTCTTCTGAAGACACTCTCATAGACACACCCTAAAATAATGCTCTACCAGCTCTCTGGACATTTCCTTAGCACATAAAATTAACAATCACAACAATAATACACACATACTTAAAACATTCAGTGTGGTAAGTTTTGATCCATGTAAACCCTGTGAAACCATCATTGTGATCAAGTACATAGCCATCACAATCCAGAAGTTTCCTCATGCTGCTTTATAATCCCTTCCTCCTGCCATTCTCCACCCTTCCTCCAGACTAGTTTCCATTTTCTAGAAATTTATATAAATAGAATCATACAATACATATACTCCTTTTGTCTGGCTTTTTTAACTCTGTACAATTATTTTGAGATTCATCCATATTGCTCAGTGTGTATCAGTTGTTCACGCCTTTTTATTGCTGAGCTATATTCCATTGTATGTAATATTCCACAATGTTTATCCATTCACCTACTGATGACCATGTGCAATGTTTCCAGTTTTTGGCTATTTGTGTACAAGTCTTTGTGAAGACAAATGCCCAATTTCTCTTAGGTAAATGCCTAAGATTAGACTGGCTGGTTATATGGTAGGTGTATGTTCAACTTTCTAAGAAAGTTCCAAACTGTTTTCCACAGTGGTGTACCATTTTACATTATATATCAACAGCGTATGAGCATTCTAGTTCCTCTACATCCTAGTCAACACTTTGTAGAGTCACTCTTTTTGATTTTAGACATTCTAATAGGTGTATAGTAATTACCTTGTTGAGGTTTTAATCCACATTTCTCTAATGCTAATGATGTTGAGCATATTTTCATGTACTTGTCATTTGTCATTAGCTAAAACTAGGGCAAATTATTATGAGGTAATGTTCTTCCATTAGGGTACAACAGAAATATTTTGCTTATAATATTTAAAATATTTTCATTTAAATAAAGACAATTAATTAATTCTATAATTCCCCATATTAATAACATTTTACAAATGGCACAGCTATTTATTTCATAAAATCAGTAAATTCTTGAGGTTTCCCTATAATTACAAAGATAACATAATTCATCTTTTAGTCACTTTTATACTTTTCCCTTATGGAAAAAAAATCATAACTGATAAGAATATTCTCGTTAATAGAACAACAGATAAAATCTGAGAGAG